TGGTCGAATTTGTTTCCCGCGGCCGCTGGGAGTAAGTATGTAGTGGTGGTGTGCGCAACGCTTAGCGCTCCGGCCTATACCATTCTAACTCCAGAACGATAGATTGGACCTCAGTAAGTGGAAGTAGATGACCGCCTAGCCATCATTTTTATTTTTCGTGAATTTCAAGGCACCTGCAATTAGCCAATCGCGTTTTTCCGAAATGCCTTAAAAAATGATACAGCTTGGGAAAATCTACAGATATAAATCAACAACATCTACAAATCCAATAAAATAAAATGAATAAAGCAGTTACTAAAGTATATTCCACTGCTTATCCGAATTTACCACCTATAAACATTGTACCAACCGTTTTCGTAAGACAAAATGCTGTGAATAGGGGGTATATGAGGTGCACTGCATAAACTAATGTTGCCGACGTTTACTATCAGAACCCTGGCAAAACAGTCCAACCCGAAATCAAAGAGCTTTTTTCAGCCCGTGCTCAACACCACTACCGCTGACTCATTGTTTCTTCGCCTGTCAAGTCTTGCGTATGTACGCGTATGGCAACCGACCTGCTGTGAACGCCGCCAACGCTGTCCACCTCACGCTTAAGTTCGGGTATTTATCGCACGCCTGTTGGCCGTGCCCTCGCGAACGTTAGAACCCAATCAACGTGCACCATTTTACGCACTGAGTATAGGCGACAGAGGACATGCCCTGTGTTCCTGTAGTCCCGCGCACGGACGCACACACAACAAGAACAAATGGCCGGGGGAGACTGCAGCAAACACCTGATCTTGTAGTGCCATTTACCACAGTAAACGCTATCCAAAACTACCAGTCTTCCCTGACTTCTGATATCGGAAATATGCTGATGTCGACTTCCCTACTCTTCTAATTTTATTACCTGCGTATTTCAGAAATATACATCGGAACATGCTATGCTGTGAAATTCATCGACCGATTTGCAAACATTTCGATTGATCCTCCACAACTGTGACTTAATTTTGCGGTTGAGGAGTCTGATGGGTGAGATTGAAGGTATGTTTGAGGTATATGTGGCTTATTGTAGTTTGCTTAGCAAAAGATGTGTAAAAGGTTGTCGGTTTGGCTTTAGGGCTTACACTTTGGTTTAGGGCTTCAGTTTTACGTTGAAGATTTTTAAGATTCAGACTTTGTCCTTATCGTTCTCCGTTTATTTGGTTAGGGTAATAGGCAATGCTTTTGAAAACCCTATTGATTACATACGGGTACGTCATATGCATCTGTACATGCTCCCATACAAATATGTCACATTTACAATAGTATTCACAAAATGTGAGTAGCCTTATTTTTTTAGTAACACTTGTCTAACGTTTGTATGATTTGAGTTGACCCAAGTGTGAAAAACACTAGGCGTTTGGCGGGATTTGA